CACATCCCAGCTGCCCCAGCCCGGGACCAGCTCGATCACCCCCCAGCCCGTGCAAAGAACGCAGCCACGCCTAGCATGCTGGGAAACGTAGTTCGCCCACCAGCCCGGGCTCTTGGCTGGGAGGCCGCGGAGGGACTACAACTCCCAGGAGGCGGCGCGGAGGAGCGGGGCGGGGGTGGACGCCGCCTTCCCGGAGGCGCCCTATGTGGTCTCGTGTGAAAAGGGAGGTGGCCCGGGCACGAGACGGCGCACGCGCAAAAGACTGGCTGACGTTCTAGGGGCAAGTTCCGTGGCCCACGTGCTGCGCTGGCAGCGCCAGTCCCTTGAGTGCCGGGGCGCGAGGCGCGGCGGGGAGCGCATTGAGGCGGCCTGGGGGGGGGCGGAGACGTATCGCGCTGCCGGCACTTCCCCCTCCGTTTTGCTGAGCAGAGCCCCGCCCCCCCCATTCCCTGCTCCCAGAGGCCCTGCCTAGCGGAGAAAGGCCTGTCCTGTTGCAGCCCGGTCCCTGCTGGGTTTTTGACACGGCTTAGCCAGCTGTGGCGGGAGCTGGGTGCACTGGATCACGCTGTCGAGGCAAGGCAACCCACTCTGCGTAATTCCTCTGCTCCAGCACCCCCCTGCCTCCCCATAGTTTGCCATGCACTGTCCACCACAAGATGTTCAGGAAGCGCCCTCCATCCTGCCTGTGGCGCAAATCCAAACCCCAACCATCAGACCTGGACTCACCTAATGTCTACACTTGAAAATTAATTTAGATTAAGGTAAGGTCTGAATTTAAAACACAATGGCTGTGTCTACATTGACGCGATCTTGCGCCAAAGTGGCCGCTTTTGCACAAAAACATGGTGCCTGTCTACACTGGCGGGGAGCTTTTGCGCAAGAACACTGACGTTCTTATGTATGAAATCAGGGCTTCTTGTGCACGAACTCTGATGCTCCCACTCAGGAATAAGTCCTCTTGCACAAGAGGCCAGTGTAGACAGGCAACATGAATTTCTTGTGCAAGAAAGCCCGATGGTTAAAATGGCCATTGGAGCTTTCTGGTGCAAGAGAGCGTCTACGCTGGCACGGATGCTCTTGTGCAAAAGCACATCTCTTGCGCAAAGGCACATGCAAGTGTAGACGCTCTCTCCTTCTGTGCCTCCTGAATCCACTCTTGTCCAGTGGAGTGCTCTTGCCCTTCAGATCTGTTGGACACTGGGTCACCTGCTAGCATCATCCCTACCACTCCTTGGTGGGGCCTTGGAGATCTCCAAGTCCTGGAGCCTCCTAGGAAAATTCTGTATAATCTTACAGACCAGTCCAGACGTGCTGTGGAGAAACTTTTACAGCAGAACTACTCTTCTGGAACTCTGCTGATCTTCTTCATTTCCCTGCTGCCTGTGCTTCACTTACCTGCTCACCTGCCTGCTGCACTATCCTGCTTCAGTCACTTCATGGGAGGGTGGGGAGCATCAAGTAGGAATACAAAAGGAAACTAATTGAACAGTTATGCTACTACTATAATAGAAAATCCTTATTAAACAAAATGGGGAGTGCATTGTAATGCTGTCTGCTGTGGCTCAAGAGTGTCAGTACCAAGCTCAGGGCAGATGGTTAACCAGGGCACAAACCCCAAACTGTTTGTGAGGTCTTATACTTAGATTTCATCAACCAATTATCAAGTGTAAACTAGACACTACAACAGCCTTAATGTGGACATAAGAATGGCCATACTGGGTCAGACCAAGGATCCATCTAGCCCAGTATCCTGTCTTCTGACAGTGGCCAATGCCAGATGCCCTAGATGTACAGAACAGGAAATCATCACATGATCCCTTCCCTGTCACTCATTTCCAGCTTCTGACAATGGAAGCTGGGGACACCATTCCTGCCCATCCTGGCTAATAGCAATAGATGGACCTATCCTCCAATGTGGAGTTGCAGACAGCCCTTTTGGGAATTTGCATATCCTCTTTCGACACTCTAGTGTAGTCTAGATGAGCCCTCAGCGTTATCCCCATTTTACAGATAGGGGACTGAAGGACAGAGGGACTACGTGACTACTTTCTGAAGTCAGGTGAAAGAGTCAAGAATTAGATCCAAGACCTTCTGAGTGGCAATCCTGTGCCATTCTCAGAAGACCATCCTTCTTCAGCTCCCTAGACCAAGTGACTGACTAAAGTACCTCTTGGAGCATTCTTCTCTCTGACATGACAAAGTGGTCCCTGTGACTTTCTTTTCTACCAATTAGGGATGTTAAAATGCGGTTAATTGAGTAGTCAATGGAATTTCTCAACTAGTCAATAGGCACTTCCACATTCCTTCTTTGGGGCTCTTGTACATTTCAAAGGAGAAATGTGGAACTCCGCGTACAGCCCGGGGCCAGCAGGAAGTCCCACTAACTCCAGGCTGCCTGCAGGTGCTTGCTTTGAAATGTACAACAGACCCCAGCTGGGGCTCTTGTGCATTTCAAAGCCATAGAGCCCAGATTCAGTGGGGGACTCAGAGTCCCCCACTGACCCTGGGCTCCATGCTGCGCTGCATGCCATGCGGAGCCCAGGATCAGATGGGGAGTCCCCAGCTGACCACGGATTCTGGGAAAATGCTGCGCAGAGCCTGGGATTAGATGGGGAGTTCCCATCTGACACCTGGTTCCATGGCTGCCCCTTTGAAACATGGAGGTGGCATTTCAAAGGAGCAGCCCCCCCGCCAGCGGCTCCCCGGCTCCCCTTCTTGGGGAAATGTGCGGAACCTGGAGTCAGCTGGGAAGTCCCAGGGCTCTGCTGAAATGCCATGAGTAACCGGAGTCAACTGGGGAGTCCCCAGCTAACTCTGGGCTCTGCGGTGCTTTGGCATTTTAAAGGGGTAGCGCACAGCAGACTGCTGATATATATTACAGTGGTGTGGTCTCATGAAGCTGGCAGGATTTGGGTGCACAGAGAAGGACAAAGATCAGGGAATGAGCAGGCTTGAAGATAGGGGTCAGCAAACTGCATAGAATATAGAGGAAGGAGGTCAGGTTGGAGTGGTTACCAAGAAGTCAGTCTGTGTATGCATGGCCAGTATGCCAGCTACAATTGCAGCACTTCTGTGAATAGTCCTGTTAATGAAGAATCAGTTTAGTTTTATGGTCATGGAGTCCTTGAATTTTATTAACCCAGCAGGCAGTATGTGAAACATGGAGGAGAGGAGAAAATAGAGAGAAATAAAGGGGAATGAACAGGAGTGAGGAGGAAAGTGGGACCAAGACAATGAAACAGGGAGAAAGAAGAAGCTGCCCCAAACTTTGGGTGTGTGTGAATGTGGTCAGGAAAAGAATTATGTTTTCTGGCAGAAAATAAATGTGTGAAGGGATTAGTAAAAAGAGTGAAAATAGCAGAACAGCAAGCAAGAGAGAATGGAATTATGGAATGTAAATGTAGAAAGGAAAAGCAAGGAAACAGGCCCACTTTTAGACTAGTGAATCCTCTTAATTCATGTTGTTTTCTGTGCTAGTATTTCCCTGGCAGATAGCCCACAGCTCTGTAAATCTCCTGAGAGAGAGACAGCATAATGTTGTCTCTCTGAGGACTGGACTCTTGCTGCATCGTTCCATTCCTGTTAAGCGTATATTTTAAAATATAACATGCCACAGCAGGTGTGTGCAATTAGAGGAGGGCTCCCCAAAATAGCATTAGGGGCGGCTGTCCATTTTTTAGCATATGGCGTTGCCCTTTTCCCCTTTGTCCAACTGTGCAGAAATTTATTCTAAGATGCTTTATATTTACAAAAAAAATTTCTAACTAACCTGTTTTTCCCTCCTTTGTCTATATTAATATGATCAGGAAAAAGGAGAATTGCTATTTAAAATACCAACCTTAATGTGATTTGTGTTACTGGTATGAGTTAATTCTTCTCCAATAGCTAAACAGCTTGAAGGCAAACTCGCCTCCCAAAAGTAGATTCCAAATTTCCCCGTGGCTGAAATTTAGCAGCACTGCAAATATCTTATCTCTTTATTATTATTGATCATTACTAAATACATACTTTGACTTTCTATGGCATTTCCAAACTGAATTAAGTGTCACAACTCTTCTGTAAGGTACGTTACTCTACACAAGGGGAAAACTGAAGCACAGAGAGTTTGTGGTTTGGCCAAGGTCACACAGTGCGTACGTGGCTGTTTTTATGAGTAGAGACAGAGCTTCCTGTACATTGCTTTGAGCACAAGACCAACCTTCCTTATTATTATTGTATTCTGATTTTTAAATGCAAATGCACTTAAAAACCTGGTGAGCATTGAAAGTTAAAATCTGGCTTTGAGTGCTCATTGTGGTTCATGTAGGTTGCGGGGGAGGAAGTGTCCTTCTAGACAAAGGAATCACCATTTGTGTAAAACCAGCAGAGCTGATGGCCTCCGCAGGTCCCTGGACAAAGTGTGTGTGTGGTGGTGGTGGTGGTGGTGGGCGGGGAGGGGGAGCAATGTGCTCCTGGAAGCTCTGGCCCCATGGGCAGAAGGGGTGGGGATGCAGGCAGCCATCCCTCAGTGCTGCCTGGAGCGCAGCACCCGCTCCAGTCCGTAGCAGTGTCCCGAGCACTCTGCGCAGTGCTTCCTAGGGCCCTGGTTTCACCACTGTTACTGCAACAGCTATAGCAGCCAGAGCCTCAGTCCCCTTTTAATTGCTGGGTCCTCAGGAAATAGCCGCATTTCACCACCCCCTCCCATTGGTGGGCCTGTGTAAAACCACTAAGTCAGTGGAGCTGCACCATTGATGAACCTATCTGATACAAATGTAGAGACATAGTTTTAGGCCCCTAATGAAAGTTTTGTTTTTAAACGGAATAAGGAAAACAGAGGGATTATAAGACCCGAGGGCTTCTTTCATTACTTTTAGGTAGGGTAGTGAGTTGGGGCGAGGCTGATTTTAAATAGTCTCTTGCAGT